TTGCCTGGAATATCTCACGCTTTCTGAGATGGCAAGGAGGGTAGACTAAGGAAAGTGACTGGTCTTGGACAGAGATTGATCAGAATTATAAAGTCAAGATGGAAAGACTCTACTTGGTCCAGGGTCCTGAAACTATGGCAGGAGTTCCCACCGTTGCTGTGAACACCTGGTCCAGAGCACCTGGGGTTGACGCTGTAGAGCTTCTGTGTAGTGGAAAGGCCTATTCCTCTGTGGGATTCTCCAATGAGCCTTTTTATTCTGCTGAGCTCAGTCTAAATAGCCTTTATTTTCCACCGATCCTTTGGAGCCCTACTTCCTGACATATCTAAACCACCACATCTGCCCTTCTTTGATGCTTGGCCAAGCTCTCCTCACCATATTTTTAGCTCCTATAATCTTTCTTCTTTCTTTCTTTCCTTGACTACTACCTTTCTTCTCTTTGATTCCTCTTTGCTCCCATCCTCTTTCTGGAAGGTCCGTTGATAAAAAGGAAATTGAGCCAATTCATAATCATTCTTCCCCCTTCATGCCCTGCCCCCAAATCTAGTGGCATATAGTTGTTTTTAATTTCCACGGAAGATGTTTTCATTTTAACACCCAAGCAGCAAACTGCCATGCCCAGATAGGAACATATCTAAGGTTCGTGATGTAGAAGGTTTAGGAAAGAAGAGAAAAACTTTGGATGAGAGAATTTGAGAAGATTCCTGAACAATGATGCAAACTCAGAGGACCAGTGATTTAAACCACATGTGCTGGACGCGGACCTATCATAGGCCAAGTATGCAAAATAAGGGTGCCCTGCCCACACCGGCACCCCTTCCCCACCCCAGACTCAGTTCTCTGATGGGGCCACCTGGATGCCCCACAGACACCTCTAATACATTACGTTCAAAGCCAGGTTGCTTCGTTCCCCTTATCCCCATCAGAACAAGCCAAACCACTACTTCTCCTGAGTTTCCCGTCACTAGCTTTTGGACTCAGAAATCTGAACAGGATTGGTAACAGTACAGTGTTGAGCTGAGCCAAAGGCTGGAGATCCTCTTTTTTTTTTTTTGGAGAGCCTCTTTTCATTTAAAATTTTGATACTTCCTGCAGTGTGAATTTTGGGGGACATGCCTTTATCTTCTTAAAGCTATTACAGTGAGGGACATCTGGATGGCTCTGTCGTTTAAACCTGTGCCTTCCACTCCGGTCATGATCCTAGGGTGCAGGGATTGAGCCCCGAATCCAGCTCCCTGCTAAGCGGGAAGCCTGCTTCCCCCTCTCCCTTTGCTCCCCCGGCCCCGCTTGTGTTCTCTCTCTCTTTCCCCTGCTCCCTGTCAAAAAAGAAAAAAAAAAGCTATTGCATTGAAATAATGTTTATGAAATATGTTTAATATATTTTTACATCTTATTTAAAGAATATTTATTTCTTGGGGTGACTGGGTGGTTCAGTGGGTTAAGCCTCTGCCTTCGGCTCAGGTCATGATTCCAGGGTCCTGGGATCGAGCCCCGCATCGGGCTCTCTGCTCAGCGGGAAGCCTGCTTCCTCCTCTCTCTCTGCCTGCCTCTCTGCCTACTTGTGATCTCTGTCTGTCAAATAAATAAATAAATAAATAAATATTTTTAATAAATAAATAATATTTATTTCTTTATCTTGATTACCAAGTTTTTTGGGCCTAAAGTCGTGTGCCTGACATGAATGTCTCACTTGCCTCACCCTAATTGTGCCCCTGGACCACTTGGTAAGTATTTGTTGCCAGAACCCCAGAAGGACAGGCAGGCAATTCACCTACCTAAGGTAGGTGTTTTCCACCTAAGGTGTAATTCCACCTAGGTAGGCAGAATTCCACCTAAGGTAGGAATCTAGTCCTGGAGTCCAGCTGCCTGGGTTCAAAGCCCAGCTCCACCACTGGGTCACGTTTGGGCAAGCCATTCAACCTCTCTGTCTGAGGTGGGTAGTGAGGGTGCCTCTCTCACAGCACCACTGGAAACATCGTGTGAAGTGTGATGACAAGCACCCTACCCTGCCTAGAATTTAGGAAAGTCCTTGTAAATGTTTGCTCTCGTTGTTACTAGAGTCGGGCTCCTTATCTAGGACTCTCTCCACAACATGGTGCCTTCTGAGCACAAATTATTCCAAATGGAGTCTCAAAGATACCAGGAGCCCCTCAACTCCATCCGCTGAGCTCTCCCAGCTTCTTGGCAATTCCTGCTGTCCTCAGAGGAACTGAAGGGCTCGACTGCAGAGCACAAGCAGGCAAACAGACAGACACCAACATTTTCCTGGAGGCCCAGGGACTGCAGTCAATGTCCTCACTCTTTCCATGAAATAAATCCGCTAAGCGACTGAGGCATGTGAAGCATTGAAATGAGTATCTTGGGCTTCTTCTTGCCAGTGGCCGGGACCATGTAACTGAGCAAAAGACCTTGAGCTGTTAAGTGCCCTGACCTAGACCTGCTGGGCTGTATTTTTAGCCTCTGTGCACTGTTTCCATCACCTGTGCTAGGCTTTAAGCTAGAAGAGAGGGGAGGGAGGCCTAGGGAAGGCTCTAGAGGGATGTTTCTCATAGCAGCCAGTGGGGGCGGGGGCTTGCACACTCTGAGTTCTGTTGTACAAGCCAACTTCATGGGGTGCGTCACCTGTGTAGTGTCCCCAAACTTAGTAGGGCCCTGCACTTGGTTTAATGCTCTCTCATAGCCCCCTTGAAATTCTTAATCATTTTGACCAAGGGGCCCCACAGCTTCGCTTCTCACCGGGCCCTGCGAACTACATAGCCCATTCTGGTTGTACACAAGGTGGAGAGAACCAACCCAAGGGAGGGGCTGGCATCCACGCAACAGGAGTGATTTCCTGCAGCGGAGCCCAACAGGCTGAGGCTACTATCATGAGGCCCAAATCTCCAGACTTGGCCACATAAACCCTGTTTTGAACCTATTGTCTGCGCCTTCCTATCTCCTCCTCAGAAACCAGGATGAGATGCCAAAGGACCTTGTAAATTGTAGAGAGCTGTGTCCTGCTTTGCAAAAATGTTTCCCTGCACTCTATTTTAAAACAGTGCACAGACCATTCTCTGCGAACACCATTTCTTGTCTCTGTAGAACTTTTTGCTCTCTGAAATTCACATTATTTCTAGGAGGAAAGGACCAGCTTGTCTTGTTGTGCTCTGGGTATATTCTTCACTGAATATTTGTTGAATGGAGGAAGTTTCGCCTTTATTGAGTGTCTGCTTTGGGCTGATGGTTTCACCTGCTGTTCTCATTTCATTCTCCTTCAAGGTGCTCCTGCTGCCTCCATCTTCAAGGACCCATGTTACAGGTGAGGAGTTCATGGGTCCTACTGGAAGAAGCTGGTTTTGGAGATGGGAAGAGTCCTGGATGGTGGAGAGGAGAAGATAAGTTGGAGACACCGGGTGAGATGTGGAGGATTGGGGGGGTGGGCACTGGGTGAGGGGTGTCCTCTTGAACCAATAAGGCTCCCAGAGGATCCCTGAACTCGGGAAAGGCTGAAAACAATGAGAGAACAAGACTCTTCTTGCCGCGGCTCTGGGTCGTGTGGGTGGAGAGGGACCAAGATTGGGAGGCCTCGTGGGAGGTATCTGCACCTTTGGGGCCCGGCCCTGGAAACAGCTGGGGAGCAGGTTGTGCTGAGGCAGACCTTGGGAGTGGGCAAAGGGGCGCAAGGGCCGGCTTACTGAAGGCGGGCCCCGGAGCCTGCCAGTGGGGAGAGGGGACCGCCCCAGCCCCGCTCTGGGCGCGGCGAGTCTGCACACGAGGTTAGAAGCTCCCGCCGCCACGCCGGGCACAGGCCGGTACTTGCAAGCCCGGGACCAGGGACTTGAAAGCGGCCGGCGCGCCGCCCAGACCTGCCCCGAGGGGCGTCACCGCGGCGCTTTAGGCGGGAGCAGAAGGAAAATCTCCTCTGCCTGGGGGAGTGCGGGGGAGGAGGGAGGCCCGGGACAGACCCAGAGTGCAGCCAGGGAAGACCTTGGGAGCGGGGACAAAAGACCTGCCACGCGGGGGCCCGAGAGTTTCAGTCGCGCGCACTCTGAGCCTCGGTATCCCAGTCTGCAAGAAAGCATCATTCCCCGGGCCACCTCGGGCTCTGTGTTGGGCGCTTTACTTTCGCCTATCTCATCTAATCGTGACGGCCTTGTATTAATTCCTCAGATGACTGAGGCTCAGAGAGAGCAGGAAACTTGCCCCAGTTGACAAAGGATGTGCGACAGGATTCGGAACCAGAGTTCAGTATGCTGCCTTTGTGGGTGCCAGAACTGGGATGGTGGAAGGAACTCAACATTTGCTAAGCTCCTACTGTGTAGAAGTTTTCATGCATTGCCTCATTTAGTACAACAGTTTTGGGAGTATGCTATCAACGCTCCCATTTAACAGATGAAGAAACTGAGGTAAGAGAGCTAATTTTTCTTAGACCTGCTCGAGGTCTTACAGGTGACTGAATCCAGACATTCTGATTCCAGAGCGCCCTTTTTTTAAACTGCTACGTTGATCAAAGCAGGGAAAAGCGGTTTGCAAACTGCTGTTTTGATTATTACCGCTGTGGCTGAGCCCGCCTTGTGGGTCATGACCTGAGTGAAGGTGGAGCAAGAGTCATTGGGGCGCCCCGCGGGCTCCAACGTAGCCAAAGCTCTGCGGGGGAACTCGGAGGCGGAGCCCCGGACCCCACCCATCACCTGCTGGCCCCGCCCCATCGCTCGGACAAATAACTAGCCCCGTGGGGGCGGGCCCAGGTGAGGAAGGGGATGTGGGCGGAGTCTGGAGCGTGAGTGGCAGGCGCGGCGCGCGCACCGGGAAGGGAGGGCGTGCGCAGTCGGCTCCGCCCCTCGGGGCTAGCGGGCGGAGCCGGGCGGGCCCCGCACTGCCGGGGCGGTGGCAGCGCTGAGGAGGGCGGGCCGGGGCGGGGCGGCCGGGCGGCCGGGGCGGGGCCACGCCCGAACCCCGCGTCCCGCTCCCATGGCCGCCCCCGGCTCCCCGCGCTGCCCCCTCTCCCCCGGGCCGCGCCCCGGGGCCCCGCACTGACGGCCCATGGCGCCGCCCGCCGCCCGCCTCGCCCTGCTCTCCGCCGCCGCGCTCACCCTGGCAGTCCGGCCCGCGCCCAGCCCCGGCCTCGGCCCGGGACCCGGTGAGTGAGCGAGCCCCCGCGTCCGCCCTGCGCCGAGCTCGCCCGAGGGGCAGCGCGGGCGGGCCCGCCTGGTGGGGGGGCTCAACCCCCTAGCTCCTATTTCCCGGGACTCCTTCTCCCAGCCCCTCAGCGACACCCCCCGGCCGGGGAGTCCCCCTCCTCAGAACCCGGGGCTTCCCCCCACCCCCACTCCCAGCCCCCAGTGACGCCCCCCGGGCGCCCTCTTTGCCTCAGGAACTACTCCAGGGATCACTTAGCCAAGCTTCTCCCCGATGCCTCCTGGGCTAGGACGTCTCCTCCGCCTCAGGACTCAGGACCCCCTGCTCAAGTTCCTCAGCGACTCTCCCTGGGCCGGGATGCCCCCTCTGCCCCAGCACCTCCCGGGATCCTGTCTTGTCTCTCAGCGACGCACCTCGTCTCGAGACGCTACACCCCCTCCCCAAGCCCCTCAGCGACTCTCCCGGGCCAGGATCCCCTCCGCAAGCCCCGCGGCGACGCCCCCGCGCCCCGGGGCTCAGGAGCGGGTGCGGAGGCGAGCGCTGCGGGCGCCCAGCCTCTCTGCGGGGTTCCCCGCTGCGCCTGCTTGCAATTTCTGCCTCGTGATGAGTGGAGCTGACTAGCCCGCCCTGCACGCGGTAGGTCCGGGTCGCGGGACGACCCGCTGTAGCCAGCCGGGACTCCTCGTCTTTACCTCCGGGGCCGTTTTGAGCCTCCCAAAACTCAGGTGCAGGCCTAGCTTGGAGAGAGGAAGGAAGGGGTGATGGCTTAAAACCTCCCCTACAGATCTTAGGGTGCTTATCTCGAAGGCGGAATGCAGAGCCCTATTTCTAAGGTAATCCCACCCTTTAAACAGGGTCACCCACTCCCCAGGTCAAGGCCAAGGGCAGGTCTTCCCGAGGTGGAGCCCGGGACTAGGATGGAAGCTGGGACTTTGCTTAGCTTCCATACACACCCTTCTTTGCAGCAGAACTTTTTTCCAAGTTGAAGAGCAGGCACGAGGGCGTTGTCTGGCCCAGTTACATTTCTCTGCAGGTTGTTTGGGTGTTGAGAATTGGGCGTTCGTGAAAGGGACGGGAAGGGTTCATTACCGGTTTGCCGGAGTAGGAAAACCGGCTGAGGGTTCTCCACCCAAAATCGCAGACTGTGATGTTGGAAAGACAGGATTTTGTTGCCGAAAGAAAACTTTGTTGCTGTATTTACTTACCAGCTTGGATGAGTGAAAATGATAGGACTGGGTGTTGTCACTTACTATGTGATTTTTGGGCCATGACTCAGCTAAGACTCAGTTTCCTCATCTGTAAAGGAAGGATAATGAGAACTCCCTTGGCCTGGTGTTGGTAAAGATAAAATGATATACTGCAGGTAACGCCCACATATAGAAGGCATTCAATAAACATATTTTAATAATACTTTTTATAGTGCTTCACAGTTCACCAAGTGCTAGACACCTCATTTGCCCTGAGAATGCTATGAGCTTCCAGTCTGATTAAGCCCTATAAAAGGCAAAGCTTGGCTTTAGATCAGTAGAAGGGGGTCTCCAAGTCCTGTAAACCTTAGACTCAGGAAGTGGTTTCTGAGAGATCGGCAGCTTTCAAGGGGACTTCTGCAAAAACTGCTACAGAAGTTTGATCACTTGTGCTATTTGCTGTATGTGAGGAATGAAGGAGAAACTTTCTGAGAGCCAGGATATGTCAACATAACTGTAACCTAGTAACCCCTCAGCTCCACTTTGCCATCTGTGTGGTCAGGATTTAATGTCCTCTATGGGGAGAGAGAGGTATGGGTGGAAATAAACTGGTTCCCCTTCTGGAAAGGGCAGAGTAATAGTCAAGTGCGCCAGCTCTGCTTATGTTTGTTAGAAGGTGGCATCCTCTCCTCAGGCACCTTTGCTTTGCTAGGAGGGGTCAAATACAGCAGCTCTTAGGCAGTTTGAACCTCAAACCTTGGTACACTTTTATTTAGGAGTCTGAGTTAGGGACAAATAAATAACCATTGTGAGGTGATTTGTGGTAAGTGGCCCAAGTTCCTGCCTCAGTAAGCCTCACCAGCAATTTTTCCTACCATCCAGGTACACCAGGGCTTTCCTTGGCTTTTCCTTTTTAGTTCCAGAAGTAGTTTTAGGGAGATACCACATGGTCTGAAGCATCACATCCTGTCCCAAGACTGTCTACTAGTTTTTTAAATCCTTGAGGATATGCCAAACTTGCCGTTTTATATTTTTTGATACTGTAATTTTCTCTAAAATTTTGTGGATGGAAAAATTTATTTCAATACTTGTATTCTGCACAATTTTGTAATATTTAAATTACTGGTGGTTTGCATTTTTGAATGCTGACTTTATAAAAACAGTTAGCTCATTCCCCATCAATGCTAGTTCTAATTACAGTGTATAAGTGACCCCAAATGATCTCCCTTCTCCTCTCCATTCTTCCTTTGAGATTCTCTCCCTTCCTTAGCTGATAAGGAGGAAGACAGAGGTTGATGGTGGAATCTAGACTCTCTTTTCAAGGAGGAAGGCAGCCAGGGCCATAGGGCTGATGGGCTCCCATCTGGAATTTACTGATCTGGAGGGGAGAGCCTAGAGGTAGAAAGGGCAGGGAAGGTTGGGTAGAATTGTGCTATTTGAGTTTTGCTCCTGAGGCAACTTCCCTGCTTGGGTGTTTCTCTACATTAGGGGGCTGTCAGGTGTGCATCTACAGAGCTTCTCGATTCAAGTTAGATTTGCTGTGAACACCTTTTTTGATATTCATTCTCCTCTAAACCCTCATCTAGTGTTCATCCTCTTAGCCAGTAGTATGTCTTGCCATGAAACTCATGATTTCGGTGAACAGTGAGAGCTTCATACGGTATAGAGCACTGATCCTCTTAGAGATACCATTAACGGTATACCTGAATGCAACACAGGGGCTGATAGGAGTAAAATGGACGGACATGCTTTTGTACTTTAATGTCGACCCATTATTTTTATGCTGTGAGTATTTTAAGAAACACAAAACTGTCAAAACTGACCTGATAACCAGAGACCTCTGATATTTTTATGAAAATTTGTTTTGGTCTCTAGACAAATCTGTTTAAATGTTTGAGATATGCAATGAGACCTTTTATAAATCTGAAAGCAAAAAAGAAGTTCCAGTGACGCTTGGGTGGCTCAGTGGGTTAGGCCTCTGTCTTCAGCTCAGGTCATGATCCCAGGGTCCTGGGATTGAGCTCCACATTGGGCTCTCTGCTCAGCAGGGAGCCTGCTTCCCCCTCACCCCCTCACCTTCCTCTCTGACTACTTGTGTCTACTCTGTCAAATAAATAAATAAAATCTTAAAAAAAATTAAAAAAAAAAGTTCCATTTAGGCTCCCTCCTAATAAATAGCAAGTTGGCATACTTAATATAGATATTATTGATAATATCACTATTTAGCATAGTCAAAGCAGCAGCAATAAATGATGAAGATAAAATGTATTGCTTTAAATACCTTCACAATATGCAGATTAGGGATTTTTGGTGATGGGCACTATAACATCTTTAGTTTAGGATTTGGGGTCCTGGAGTGAGGCTCTAGGTCAGGTGTTGGCAGACATTTTTTGTAAAGGGCCAGACAGTAAATAATTTCGGCTTTGTAGGCTCTGTACTGTCTCTGTTGTAGTTATTCCACTCTGACTTTGTAGGGGAAAAGCAACCAGAGACAAATATAAATGAATGGGCGTGGCTACGTTCTAATACAACTTTATAGACACTGAAATTTTAAAATTTCATAAAATTTTCCTAGGTCACAAAATATTATTCTTTTGATTGTTTTCAGTCATTTAAAATTTTAAAAACCAATGCTAGCTCAGGGACTATACAAAATCAGGGAGTGGGCCAGATTGGGCCCGAAGTGTACTTTGCCAAGTCGTGCTTAAATTCCTGTGTATTGATTTCTTTCCAGGGCTCAGTGGTCTGGAAAGGTGAGAAGGAGACTTGGTTTTGGTGACTAAATGAACCCTTCACATTTTACTATTAACTGTTTTTAAGAGACATATAGGGAAAATGGTTAAAATGGTGAATTTTATGTGTATTTTACCATAATTTTTTTTTAAAGACACATGAGGGGAAGTTCATGTGCACATATATTTGGCTCTTTAATAATACCTTTAAAAATGCCTTAAAAAAATTCAGTATGGTTCAGTGTGTACTACATACACTGAAGTAGTGTCTGCCTTGGAACTGGCCCATGGTTTGTTCAACCATGCAGATGTTGCTTGGAGCAAACGGTTGAGAGATCTGTTTCTCAGAGGAAAGCCCAGGCAGCAGGTGGCACCAGCCTGAGACACAGAACATCAGCCAGGGGGGAAAAAAAGGAAGAAGAAAACAAATTTCTATCACTTTACTCAACAGTTCAATTTTATTTCCATGGTACTGTCGTCATTTTTAAAGTGGCCTTTAAAAAACAACAATGTGCTAAGCATGGCTGATTATTTTGTTTTAATTAAAACATTTTTGAAAAAAAACAAAATGAAACATTCAAACATACCAAGTTGATTGTGTTTGTACTGTGGAACAGTTAATGCAAAACACTTGAGAGAGGCCGGAAGTTTGGATCTGTAGACTTTGCCTGAGTTTTTGCCTCCTGAAGAAGGACAATAGAGGAAGATACGAATGTGTCCTTTGGAAAACTACCTGTGGCGTTTTTAAGATGAGGTCTCAAGCCCCCTGATGCCATTTGGCAGGTTGGCTTCTTACTGTCTCACTGTGCAGCCCCTCAGTGGGGCAGAACAATGACTGACATTCCTTCCATATTCAGTTTGACCTGGAGAGTCTGGCTGGAACCCAAAAGTATTAGACCCATAGGAGCAGCCCTAGTTCACTCTGTTTTTCCCCCTCTCTCTGTTGTCTTCCGTGTCTTCCTCTCAAGATGGCAGTGGCTTCTTCCCCAGACCTCACCTCTGAGACATTATTCTGGGTTCAGACTGAACAGAGAAAGGAAAGAGGCCATTGTGGATACGTCAAAAGGGTGCCCATACTTCCC